ACACAAAAACTAAAACACTATTAACAATAGAATAACACCCTCCTCTCAGCCAGTACAACAAACTGCGGCTTGAGACCCGATGACAACCACCCACATAAAAAGGTATTTAGATTATTTTACCATAAATAATTATTGTTTAGCAATAGTGTAAAAAAATGAAGAGATTAAGTATAAACATAGAATGAATATGAACAAAATCCTAAAATCTATGTATCAACTTTAATAAAATATACAAAGGATTGAAATTATGAAGTTGAAAATAAAAAATATAAGTCAATATCAAATTTGAAAGTAATATAACATTATTAATTATAATTCATAAAAGCATAAATGTTAGGTTGATAAATATTAATTTATATTTTTAATGATCGAGTATTATTAACTATAAGATAAGATACAAATAAGCAAGATAAATAAACGAGAATTTATTATGTTATTATTTTAATATTTTATATGATATTTAAACAAGCATACAACTTATACTGATTCAAATTCATCCAATTATTATTTAAAAAAATATTAAAATCAACTTAGAAGAGTTGTGAGTAGTATTTGTGCTAGACATGTATTATTTTATAAATGTAATCAAAATGATTATCATTTTTGACAAGGTGAGAGTAAAAAACACATGTAGATTTAAATAGTTATCTCTCTATTAGTTATTTAATATTTATTGTACATTTAATTTTATGTTTTTTATAATAAGAATATAAATATTTTAATGTAAACAGTTTTTTTCTAAACACTTGTAGTACACGAGTGTCGTACTAATAATTATTACAAGTACACAGGTGTCATACGAATAATTATTATTATTGACCGAATGAGCAAAACACATGTCATATTAAATAAATTAAACTTGATTAGGTATTTATATTATTTGTATATTTATTCTTTCTATAATAGTGCAATAAGAATATATTATTTTTATTTTTATTGTATTAATAATGTGTTAGAAACATGTCATATAAAATAAATATTACTTTATTAGTTATTTATATTTATTGTATTTTTTTTTTTATAATTTTACAATAAGCACGTATTTTTTATTTTTATTATATAAATGTTTATTTTGAAATCCTCAATACATGACTGCTCGTGTACTAGTATTCAATTATATTGAATCGCAGACAGCGAACATGCATTTCTCAAGGACTAAATTGAACATTCTTAGTTAATCATGGTTAATTTGAAAGAGTTGGTATGAGTAGTTGTTGCCGAAATTTTGAGTTTCTATTAAAATAATATTTAAAATAAAATAATTAAATTTAATTTGATGTAAAAGTATGAGAAAGATGTTGTGAAGTGATGGTTAGTTATTATGTGAGTGGATGAATAGTAAATTAGAATTGAAGTGATATGCAAGAATAATTAGTTGATATTATTTAATTATATTGATAACATTGAAATAGTAAAATTGAGTTAAAATTAAATTAAATTTTAAGTATGAATTGAGTATGAGTGAAATAATTCATAAACAAACACACACAAACAATGGGATACGGCATAAGTGAAGCATGGATTGGTAGACAAAGCTCTCAAATTAGAGGGGCACCAACGCTATTATCGAATCTTTGAGGGGCATCTGGTTCTGGTTATTACAGCCACAGGGGCACCAACGCTATTATCAAATCTTGAGGGGCATCTGGTTCATTTGTCCTCGTACAATATTTACAATCCTACGCCAAATCACCGAATACTGTTCCTGAATTTCATCTATCAACGAACGGATCTTTCATCTGTGCGAATTTTGTTCTTCACCAGGAACCCTACCCAAACCCTAACTCCTCAAATTCTCTGCCATCGAAGTACCATCATTTTTAGTTTATTTACCTCTGAATAGAAGCGAATGGCAAGTGATTCGAGTGACAAAACGCATCGAAAGCACAACCTTCCATCCTCCACCGATGACGCGGAGGAGCATTCGAAACGCCGCAAGCACCGCCACCATCATCGCCACCGCCATCACCACCGCAGGCATCGGAGCAGCAAAGGTAAAGAAGAATCAAATGATGTAGCTGTAGAAGAATTGGAAATTCCAAAAATTGATGAAATTGAAGAAAGGAAATTGGGAGCCAATGGAGATGAGGATGATGGTGGTTCCTTGGGCGAAGCATTGGTGTCAGGTGGGCCGGGATTCGCCGGGGTTGATTATGAAATGGAAGAAGGAGAAATCGTGGAGGATGGCTTGGTTAATTTTAGTAATGAGGATTCCGATAAATTGCAGAAGAACTCAACAGATATTGAGTTGGGGAAAATCGGGGTGAGTGGATACAATGATTCTAACATGGTGTGTTCAGAATCCCTTCGCTATATTCATCAGTTTTATCTATTATTGTTAGTTGTTGGATAAAAGAGCATGTTCACTTGATTTTCTGATTCAGAAACAAGTTTTATTTCTGATTTTTGTTTTAATGATTTCAGAAGATTCAGTATTAGTTCCTTGGAATAAATTGGTTTAAGCTTCCCCTTTTACTTTGACATGCCCTACAGTAGATGGTCAATACGTATTGGAAAACTTCACCTGTTCTTTGGATGTCAGGATGAAATTTTATTCTTCTTTTTGTCTTTTTGGTTTCAAATATCTAGACTAGGTTCTTTGTAAATCAGGAAGACATTTTACCTATGTGTTTCCCACGAGGTTTTCTCTTGATCGTAGAAGGCTGGCCTTTTCTCATAATATATAGATGCATTATGGACATGACAAATTTTATTCATAGGGAGCTTTGCACTCTGTAATTACATTTTGTTGCCAGGCAAAGTTTCCCTAGGCGTTTCCACTTTCCAGAAGACTGAAATGATGACTTTCAATTGATTGTAAGACTTGGATATATGTCTAATGCATTTTGCTTGCATTGTTAGTTTAGTAACATTGCTGATTGTTGGAGAGTAAATTTTTCTTTCAATTTTTGTCCCTGACAGGGTGTTAATGAAGAGAATACCAAAAAACTTGATGAGAGAAAAATGGGAAAAGACAGTATGGACATTGAAGAAAGTACTGAGATAGATCATGAGGTTTTGTCAAACTCAGAAGGTCTTGCAAATGGAGATTATGAGAAGAAATATGACCATGTTGGTACGAGGATAAGTGACTCTTTTGATGATGTTGATCGGGGAAGTCTGAAGAAATCTTCATCACCGGATAAAAGATCCAGAGACGCATTACATTCCCGCTCGCATGATAAATACTCAAAAGAGAGTTTTTGTAGCCGTTTAATAAAGTCTCCTGATAGGTCCAGGGAAAGATCCCGCTCCCGAAGCCTTGCTCGAGAGGCTTCTGTGGAGGACCATTATTTCATGGAGAGAAGAAAGCAAATCGAGTCTTATGATGAAAGGGTGGCTGCACGTGGTGACACCTACAGACATAGCAGCAGAGATTTCATAAAGGAGAAAGAAAGAGAGAGAAGTTCTAGCAGAAATACTGAAAGAACAGAGAGGCATTACATGAGGGAGACACGTGATATATATAGGGAGGGCAGCAGAGAGAGAAATTGGAATAGAGATGAAAGTAGAGAGAAAGAGAAAAAGGAGATAGAACGAGAGAGAGAACACAACAGACATAGGGATAGATATAGAGAGGAGAAGGAACAGGACAGGTTCCGAGACAGGGAAAGGGAGAGAAATAAAGAAAGAGAGGAAAGGGGCAAAGATGGGGACAGGGGTAGAGAAGGCAGTAGAGATGGAAGGAGGGTTAGAAGCAGAGATGATGATGGGGATAATGAGAGAGATCGTTTAATAAGGAGGCGCGAAAAATATGGCAGAGATGAGGATGCTTACAGAAATAGGGAAAATGACTCCAGACACAGAAGGAATACTGATGATCAACATAGAGAAAGAGCAAGGAGGAGTGATTTGGAAAATGCAAGCTCCAAAGATGAAGGAAAGGAGAGCGGCATCAAGAATCTTGAAAGGTATATTTTCTTCTTAAAAAATAGTTAAAACTGTGGAATATTCTCCTCTAATAGTTAGTTTTCTGTCTTTCTTGGGGGCTGGGTTCAGAGAAGATGAAACAGAAGAAGATTATCAAGATAAAATTGCAATGCAACTTGCAGAACAGGAGGAAGACGATCTCGAGAGAATTAAGGAGGAAAGTAGGAAGCGAAGGCAAGCTATCCTGGAAAAGTACAAAAATCAACACCAACAAACTGGAACATCTTCAGAAGATATGGGTAGGAGTCCTCCACCTTCTCTTTATAGCATATATGATATACGGTTTCTCTTGTTGATTTAATCTCTGGAGAAGTTGGGAATTTTAAAGCTTGTTCCGTTTTTGTTGGTTTGTTTAATTTTTGGTCGAGTTCATTATTTCTCTGATGCAAACTGTCAGGTTGTTGTTTGTGAAGGATACATTGTTTGTTTTATTTATTTATTTATTGTTGTTTTTGTTGTTAAGAAATCCAGCTATTCATGCAGCATCATCTAAATTATCTATTATTTTATTTTGCAATTGATATTCATGTTGTAGTATTTGTTGTGATTTAAAGCTCTATGCAAAGATATCAACATTATGAAGTATGGTGTACTTAATTTGTGTTATTTGGTTTCTCTCTCTTAAAAGGTTTAATATTAAATTTTTACTCTTAGAGCCTTTCTGGTACTTTGGTGATGAAGCATAGTATTTCATATGTTCTATTAGGGGTATGCTTGTTTCTTCTACTGATGTTTTGTTTGATTACTTTGTGGCCAGTTAAGGATCAAGTGGGAGAGTCTACTGCACAGGTGGCATCTGTGGAAGTCATCAGAGAGAAAAATGACCATCGGGTGGAAGGTGCTGATACTTATGTTCCTGAACCATCCTTTTCTGTAGGGAAATCGCCTGCACAAAATCGCCTTTCTGTTCCTCAGCAAACCACTGGAACTGGTGGACTAGGAGAAGGTAGCCCTAAGGTATTCCAGTTGCATTTAATTAAAAACAATTTTAATTGCAACTTTAACATTGACATGTGGCATGTGNGAGTCTTCCAGTGTGCTCTTTTTTGTATGTGCCTTGATTGTGTAATTTTCTTTCACATTTCATGATGTTCTGAAGTTATTTTCAAATTTTGATGATTACTCTGTAAAACTATGCAGAGCGAGAGGTTGGATGATATGTTTTCTGATGATATTTTTGGGGAATCACCTGCTGGAGTGCATAAAACGGTTGGTCTTTCAATTTTAAATTTAGTGTTGAGCTTTGAGTTTTCACAAATCACAGTTCTTTTGTAATTGTTTTAAGGGTTAATTGCTATTTAAACCTTGACCTTTCAGCTTTTTGCAATTTAATCCAAACTTTTGGATAATTGCAATATAATCTTGACCTTGTCGTACTTTTGGAAAACGAATCTTGAATTCGTCGGACGGTCAAAAAATGCCAACGTGTCCGGCTGGTTATATACACGTTGGACTATCAGTTTGCTGAGTGGCAAATTTTTATGACTGAAAACTTATGTGGCGATGACATGGCTCATATGTGTAATTAACAAGTGAGGGAAAAAAAAAATCCACCTCAATCAGAATTTTGAAATGTGCCCCAAATTAAACCAATCAACAAATTAGAGCTTATAAAAATGTGCCCTTGATTAAATGACACACTTATCCTAATCACCGATTTAAAAAAATAAAATATAACAAAATAGTAAANAACCCCATCTCCTAGAACCTAAACGGCCGTCCAGTTCACCTTCCCAGGCCAAAAGATCTTCATCGCCTGCGCCGCCAGGATGGAAGATGTCAGTGCGACCCTCCTCACTAACAGCCCCGCCGGGCATTCTTCTCCAGCCCTATCCCCTTTCCGTCTGGATTGCTCCTTCTTGACCGAATTCGTGTTATTGGTCTAGTCTTCCCAGACCGAAGCGGGCTCCCCGGCCACGACATGGCCTTTGTCGTCGTCCCTTTTGCCTGGATCTGGAAAGCCTCTGCGGCAGGGCACCTTGGTCGAACGAGCACCACCACAGATGGGAATCGAAAAAACCACCTCCTCGTCGTGGACCTCGACGTGCTCTGGAATCTAGATCTGGGCGACCCCGATTACAACCACGTCGGCGTGGATCTGAACTCTGCCAAATTGGCAGCCGTCGTCGCCGTTGGGTACTGAAAGGAGACGGCGGGAGGGAGGATTTGTGGGGGTGATGATGAATCTGGGAGAGGTTTAGGGTTTCGATAGAGTACAATGACGGGAGGCTTACATGATTTGGGAATTTTGGAATTACTTCATAATTTCATTCTTGAAAATGTTGATTTTTTTAACAATTCCACGTATTTAATGTAGTCACACTCAGTAAACTACAAGTTCCACGTAGGTATAACTAGCCGGACACGCTGGCATTTTTCAAACGTCCGACGAATTTAAGGTTCGTTTTGCAAAAGTACGACAAGGTCAAGATTATATTGCAATTATCCAAAAGTTTGGATTAAATTGCCAAAAGCTGAAAGGTCAAGGTTTAAATAGCAATTAACCCTTGTTTTAACATCCTCAAGTTCCATTTTATTTTGCAATGTCTTGTTTTACTAAATCTGAGCTTTTCGCCTTTTGAGTAGTCATATCTTCTGATTTTGTTGATGACTGCTAATATTTTTTTTAACTTTGAAAAAAAAAATCAAGATTTTTCCTTTATTGTTGTCAATGATGTAGGAACTGTCCTTTTTCCACATTCAACAAAATTTTGCACTTCCTTCTACTAATTTTGGTAAATCTGGTGGATTTTAAGTTTTTCTTCAACTTTTTTTTTTTGTGCTGCACAGCATTTTCCCATTCTATGACCCTATACATCCCTATACTTCTTTGATATGTATATTTTCTCGTTTCAATTAAAATTTTCAACAGGGTAAAGGAGAAGGTGTAGCTGTTGAAAAAAGTGGACTACACGATAATTGGGATGATGCGGAAGGTTACTATGGTATGTTCCATATAAAAGTCTCTATATTATTGTGCCTTCACCGTGGCTGAATGCACTGTTAATTGAAGTGGATCATGCCTACAAACCTGGTGTACAAGTGGTTTTGTTTGTTTATTTATGTTTATCTTTGTTCCCTCATATTTAGTATGAAGGTCATCTCTTTATCCGATGCTTTCTTAGGTACATCGCTGGTCATTTTTTATCAGGAATATTGCTGATTATTATAGCTATCTGGGTAATAGCAGATTCTGTTGTCATCTTAGTTACTCTTCCATTAAACTTGTTGGTTTTATGTTTTCACTACCAGGCTATCGTTTGGGAGAAGTACTCGACGGCCGATATGAGATAATTGCAACGCATGGGAAAGGTGTCTTTTCTACTGTTGTTCGTGCAAAGGATTTGAAAGCCAAACCTAGTGATCCTGAAGAAGTTGCAATTAAAATCATTCGTAATAATGAGACCATGTGAGTGCTTCTAGGCCTTTTTGGTTTCAGCTGCAAATGTATGTTATTGAAATGGGATTATTTTACATCACTCAGTACCTTATGCTATTCTGTTGTTGTCCTGGCATGTAGGTACAAGGCTGGTATGGAAGAGTTGGTCATATTAAAGAAGTTAGTTGGCACGGATCCTGAGAACAGACGCCACTGCGTTCGTTTTCTTTCTACCTTCAAGTACCGAAATCATCTATGTTTAGTTTTTGAATCTCTTCATATGAATTTACGCGAAGTTCTCAAGAAATTTGGTCGTAATATTGGTCTGAAGCTTACTGCTGTTAGGGCATATGCTAAGCAACTCTTCATAGCATTGAAGCATCTGAAGAACTGTGGGGTTCTTCATTGTGATATCAAGCCAGATAACATGCTGGTAGGCTGTGAAGGTCTTATTTGCATTTTCCCATAATGCCTTAACTTAGTATCTTTACATTATAACTTCTGTCATTTTCTTTTCGTAGGTGAATGAGGCAAAAAATGTTCTGAAGCTTTGTGATTTTGGTAATGCCATGTTTGCTGGTAAAAATGAGATCACCCCTTACCTTGTGAGCCGTTTTTATCGTGCGCCTGAGATCAGTAAGTGTTTCATATTCTTATTATAATGGTGTATTCATTTTATTTCCAATTAGTTTTCGGTGGGGAAACTGGTGTATTTCTTTGCTTGCAGTTCTAGGCCTGCCATATGACCATCCCATGGATATTTGGTCCGTGGGTTGCTGTTTGTTTGAACTTTACACTGGGAAGGTTTTATTTCCTGGTGCTACCAATAATGACATGCTTCGTCTCCACATGGAATTGAAGGGCCATTTCCCAAAAAAGATGCTCCGAAAGGTTGGTGATAGAGTCTGATTTATATATCGTGGAACTATTCTATTTTTCTTTCTCTTTATTTTTTCAAAATTTGCTGGTCGTGAATCTTATTGCACACTCTTTGCTACAGGGAGCATTTACAGATCAGCACTTTGACCAGGATTTGAACTTTCTTGCAACTGGGGAGGATCCTGTCTCAAAGAAGGTTGGTGTGACGGATTCGATTCAATCTTCGATTTTCCCGGATAGCTAAAATTCAAGTTTAACTGCATGCTGGAAATACTGAACCCGTCTATTAACCCATGTTTTATTCTGGTTTGTAGGCCATAAGGAGGCTGGTTGTAAATATCAAGCCCAAAGATTTTGGCACCTTAATTTCAGGATCTCCGGGAGAGGATGCAAAAATGGTAGCGAATTTTAAAGATCTTATGGAGAAAATATTTGTCTTGGATCCAGACAAGAGATTGAATGTTTCACAGGCTTTGAGCCATCCTTTCATCACGGGCAAGTGAACCATGATGCTGATTCTCTGACAACAGATCTGCTGTTGATTATCAACTTACACATACATTTGGTGCATCTGAATAATGAATATTCTAATTGAGCATTTATTTGTCTTTGTCTCCGTGTGAGTGGAAGAACTCAGAAGACTGACTGGGGCTTGGTTGAAGTTCTTAGAGATGATCTTGAGGGAGACAATTATGGGGAGTCCTTTCCGTGGACTGTTTTCTGTTTCTATTGTAAGAAACCACCTAAAGGCATATTTCCATTTGTACTAATTCTTATGGTTAACAATCAAGATAGCTTTTATCATTGCCTGTTTATTTTTCCATTTTCTTTCATATGCTGGATGTGATGTCGGCAGTTAAAGTTGAGGCATTATTTTGCTTCAATAGGAATCAGACATCTAAAACATTTATCAGTTGAGATATACATATAATTGGATATTGTGATTGTCGTTCTCAATATAGAACTCCGCGCAAACCACCATCATATAATTTTCTCCAGGTGGTCTTTTCTATGAGTGGGTTATTTCCATTCTGGTTATGACAACGACAGTTTCTGACTTAATGTTAATCTTTCTCCATGTTGTTTTCCTATTTTCTGCTCTGCTTCTTTTGGGTTCTGGGAGATTCTAACCCAATCTTTAATTCAGGCTTCTACATATGCTAGAGGAATCCATCCAGTGCTTTAGATGATTAAAGGCACTCTGGAGAAGGTACCTTGGTTTTGTTCATAAGGAGATTTTTTGTGGACCTCTGAGAACTAACAATATTTGGAGTCAATTACTTGAATGTCTCTAGAATCATTTGCCATGATTGGGTGTTGGTAGTCTACTTCTAGGATATCTATGTTCAGTGCTCTTTACTTCTTTTGAGTGTTCACTAGTGCCCTGAGCACTTTATTATCAGAATAATGTTAATAGATTCCTGAGTAATTTTATGTGGCTCAGAAGTTCTAAAGAATGCATGTGTTTATGTTGTAAATTGGTCTATTGTGCTTTTGGTTACGGTATATGCCATATTTTTAATATATACATTATAAAATTGGTATGTATCTGATCCATGATTTGGTTCTTCTGGAGGATTGTATGGCACGGGGATGTTCGGGTTCTCCATTGGAGTGATGAAATCATGTATGTAAGTATCTCACTTTTATTTTATTGGACTTTTTCCTTCTTAGGATCATGTTAATTGAAAATATTGGAACATTGTTTTGAACCACACTTCTCTTTTTGCAGGTTGAATCCTCTGTCGTACAACTCTGGTAAGTATTCCTATTTGGTCTTGTTCTCCTACAAATGGATATTTGATCACCTGGTAAACTAGATTTTTAATGCTAAGAACTTCCTCCTCCTTGAAGTCAAATTTACAATTTTGCACAAGTTTTTCAGAGGTAGTTTTGGATTTTAACTTGGCTGCTTACTGAAACACACTTCCCATTCATTTGTTTTAGTTTGCTGCCTGTCCCAAAAATGATTTTTCTTTAGATTTACCTTATTGTGTTAAAAATAAGACTTGTTAGTCGAGACTTGACAGCCACTGCTGTCTCCACTGCAAACTTTGTTGGGATATTTGCTTGCAATCTTGAAAAAAGGATAATTGTGAAATTAGGAAGTATAGTCTCCACAATTTATTTACAAGTACCTTGATGTGGGTAACACTTTTTAGGCATACTAGTTTTTGTTGGGGATTGAAAGTGGTTAATGAGCTTTCCTGTATGTTAATTAAAAAGAAAATGGAACCTGATTCTGTTATATTAGGTTGTGTGATGTGTGTTGATGCCTTTTAGACTTTCTCGTGGTTTATTCCCAGACAGGTGTTCATATTGGTCATGCTAGTTTATAGACTTTTGTCTGCGAGAAACTCGTAATTTGTTAAACATTATGGTTTATGTTTTTTTCACATATCAGAAATTCAGAATTTTGTTTGCTGTTAATGTTGTTCTTTATTATGTTCGTTGAGAAAATGCCGAATTTCATCTCGTAGTTTTATAGATTTGTTGTCAGTTATTAGTGTTCAAATTTATCATTTAATTTTCTAAAATTAAATTACAAATTTTATATTTTATTATTCAATATTTGTTCAAAGATTTTTCTGATTTTCAAGAGAAATACATACAAATTTGTCAAGTTATCATCAGTATCTTATGATAAGTTACTATGGGAATATGCTAAAATTTGTGAATAATATCACCTTGATTTTATAACAAATCAACCTTAAATTCAACTTTCATACTCATATCAAATAAAATTCATACCACTTATTTTATTTTCAAAATTTCTAAATACATTTCTATTCATATCAAATAAAATTCATACCATTTCAATTCGGACATTTCATACCAAAATAAAACTGCTCACTTTATACCACAAATTCGGACATATATCAATAGAGAAAATTGCAAATGTGGTCTCAAAACTTTTGTTGTTTCCCATATTTGGTCCTAGGCACGCCATTTATGGTCCTTTTTTATTTTTCGTTGCCAAAACGGTACCACTCCGTCAAGACTTAACAGTCTTCTTCATTAAGACGTTAGTCGTTATTTTTAATTTGGAGAAAATGACAAATTTGGTCCCAAAACTTTTGTTGTTTCCCACATTTGGTCCTAAGTAGTTCGAGAAGAATAGTTCGAGAAGAAAAATCGAACATGTCCAAAATTAATAATCATGCAAAATGAAACTCTCGTTTTCCGCCGGTTATCCGCAAAATTAAACTCAAATTCGAAGGCATGGTCCCCACAAGATGCATCCATACAAAACAAAAACTCGTCCCGAGTCATTTTACACATGATTAACTCGATTCAAACTCCATTTTTTCCAGAAGAATGCTATTTGTACAATAGGGTTTATACAATGACTTTGACAATCCCAAATCATTTACCTTTATGCCCTTATTTGATTATTATAACAATTTAGGTATATAAAATGAATTATACCATGACAGATATAAAACGGGATATGGAGATCCTGAAAAAAAAGATAGATGAGTTATTTAAACCTGTTCAACAACAGTCTAAAGATTCTAAACAAGATTTAGAACATATAGCAGCTAAAATAATAAATGATATTAAGCAAGAAATTGCTGAATGTCCTTGTAAAAAAAGAAAATAAAAAGCAGAAAGTAATTTCTAATCAAGAAGAGAATATACCTTTTCTAACGATTTGGTGGGAAATGAAGAACTAGGAAGTTCAGGAAATCCTAACGCCTTTAAATGGCCAAAGGATGCACTAAAAAAATGAATTTTCATGAAAAACTTGAGAAAAATCTTTGGAATCTAATTAATTTAGATCTGGATGAAAAACAAGCTATTCAGCTTGAACACACAATTCGTTTTTTAGAAATGAATAATGAACAATGTAATTCAGATTTAGAATTAAATCCTGAAATGAAAAAATTGTTAAAACTTGATGAAAACGAACAGTTTTATCAGTTTGAAGAAACTGAAATTGATACTCAGTCAGAATCAGAAATAAACTTCAACAACGAAGAAGAAGTCCTAAAGGAAAATTTTAGAACGGAAAAACCAGAATCATCTGGAACAAAAAACGATCAATATATGAATGCTGATGAATTTGAAAGAAAACCATCAGTAACTCCTAAACCACCCAGGTCATCTAACAACAATACCAGTATTCCTGGTATTGCTGGAGAAGTACATACAACCTCAATCCTAGATTTAGACTGTAAGAGACCTGAAACAATTAAGAAATTAATTGATAAAGGGGACTAGAAATAAGTCTTGTTAGATGGGGACTAGAAATTAATTGATGAAGATGAAATCAAGATTATCACCTTCCAAAAAGGTTTGTTACAAGAATTTCATCTTCCGAAAATATGTAAAAAGATCAAGAACAATAGGGAAGCACGTGGCAGCATCTACACCTGTCCAAATGCAAGCTGTCAAGCAGAAATTACGTGGAGCCAACCACTTTAAAAAACATGTTTGAAGATAAAGATTCCCAGACAATGTCAAGTTCAGCCAACTCACAAAGTGAAAAAGCAAGTGAAGACATGTGAGTGCATTATGGAGAGGTGTATTATTGAGTTCATTACTGGCCAGAAGTTTCTCGGTGAAACGCGTGCCAACATGGCTCACGTCAGGGATGACGTTAATCATCTTGTACCGACCCTCGTTCCTTACTCTATAAAAGGACGAGTTCATTTTGAATAAGGGACATCAGAAAAAACGCGAGCTAGTCTATAGTTTTCCCTCTCTAATCTTTCTTCTCCCATTGTAATGTGTGAGTAGTGATAAAGTTCCTTCCAAAGGAACATATGATGTAATAGAGTTCAAAGGTTTCTACCTGAGAATTCTTTTTCTTATTGTGAAATAAAACATATTTTAGTTTGTTCGGCTGAGTTCTTATGCCACGATCACCAGAGTGCCTGGAGGAACTAAAACCATTCAAGCTGAAGAAGTACCAAGAGGTGAAAAACTAAGCAGAGGCGTCCTTGGCATTGATAAAGAGCAATACAAGAACTGCAGAAGGAGCACACAAGGTACGATTTCACAATATAGATAAGAATTCCAGGATTAAAAACTATTGAAGACTCTAGTTACTAATATGTGTTTTAGGAAGAGAACTCTTTGGATAAAAGTTTTTTACAACCAAAGGAAAAATTTGTAGGTCTTAATTGACAGAATTAAGAAAAATTCTTAATTTGCTATGGATAACAATGATTTTTGGCTAATGCCATTCAGAGTAGTGTTTAAAGACGTAAATTGTCTCAAAACATTAAGAAAAAAAATTGTTGAATTAACAAAACAGTTAAAAGAAGATGAACAAAGGTTGGAAAACCTAGTTCAAACTTATCGTTCTGCACCAATAGATGTTCAACGAGTAACTTTCAGAGGCTTTGCCTTAAGATATAATGGAACAAGCATCCCTTTTAAGTGCTTAATCTTTTAAAAAACTCTAAGTTATATTCTCAGTCCATTACTTTTGGATAATTGCTTAGTTGCATCATTTAACATGTTTTTAGATCTTGGAATCAGCCCATCTAAAATCTTGGTATCAGAGCCTGGTATCAAAGAAAAATCCTGTGGGATAATAGATCTTTTGATCAATATTTTCTGAATTCGTCTTCCAATATGGAATTAAAATTCTAAATAGGGAATACCAGTATTCGTGATCCCATCTTAAGGTGGAGACAATTGGCAAACCTGTTTGGAATATGAATACCAATACGGATAACGAAAACAGAGATATAGAACAAGATCTATGTCTTAATAGTGATCTTTCACAAATTTCATTTAATGAAAATGAAAAAGGTTTTAAAGCTAGTTTAGCAATAAAACATGATGTTTTATCAAAAATTCAAAAATCAAGGTTAAATATTAAAAGGGAAGAAATTTTCAACATTCCAATGTTAAATTTCTTTAAAAGAAGAAATGAAATCTTTTATTTTGTTAACACGCAAGAATTGCATGTAGACATAAGAGATGTTAAAGGAATAGTGTACTGCCTTTGATTACTAAAGCAGAAATACGATAAAATTTGGAGAAGATTTCGTCTTCTATAATAAATAAAATTTCAACAATTCATCTAGGAGCAATAAAAATTTTGCTTAAGGCAGAATTTCAAGAAGGGATTGATACTCCTATAAAAATGACATTAATTGATGATAGAATTAATGATAGAAAAGACTGCATATTAGGGGCAACAAGAGGAAATCTTGCTTATGGTAAGTTTATCTTCACAGTTTATCCTAAATTTGGTATGTCTATTCAAACTACAAATTTAGATAAAATTTTATCTTTCATTCACCATTTTGAAAAAGAAAATCTAATGAACCCTGGAGATAAAGTCTTTAGTGTCACATATGTTATAAGTTATGCTTTGACTAATAGTCATCATAGTATCGATTATAGAAAAAAAAAAATCTTATTTTGAACTAGAAGATATCTTTTCAGATATAGGATCAATAGAAGAAAAAACCTTCTGGAAATTAGCACCTTTAGAAGAACATTGGGCTATTGATATAGCCAAAGGAAAAACCTTGATAGGAAATAAAAATCCTATACAGATTAAAGAAAACTCTTTGATCATAGGTGTAATGCTCCTTTTATTTTAAAGAATTTACCGATTTTATTTATAAAAATCAGAGTAAATTTTTCGCAAAATCTCAATTTAAATTTTAATAATCAACGGGCGCTACTTAACTACCGACAACATTATTCCGGAACAAATGGGGCGCTACAATAGGAGAATCAAGTAGACTATCAGTTTCAGAGAAATGCTCTCTAGCTGATATGTCGGAAAGAATCGATATTTACCGGTATGTTAAGACAATTAACTTCAGGATAATAAATTATAACGAACTACCTTTGACCAAGTCATTTTCAAGGTATGGAGAGGTATGGAGATCATGTAATTATCATGATATATCATGATTGTATAAGTCATTGTACAATTTTGATTGTACATATAGCACTATCCTTTTTTTCAAATACACGTGAAAAAAGCTATCGATGGTCTACTCAACATATAATAAGCAAATAAAAACGAAACCACATAGCCAACTCCCCATTTTTTTTTTCTTTTTCTCTTATATATATATATATAGGGATTAGTTCAAATGCATCCACTTATTTAAAGTGAGGACGTGAAACTCATTCATAGCCACAAGATTTAGATCTTTATTTAAATAATAATTCTTTATTTTTATAATTTAATTCTTTATTTTTAATTATTTAAATATTATTATGACCATTGACCGTTGACTCTGGCGTTGACCGTTGACTTCCGGCGAAAATTGTTGACTTCCGGCGTTGACCGTTGACTTCCAGCGTTGACCGTTGACCATTTGTCTTTTGTTGTTNACAACGCCCCGAAAGGGCGGGGGATTTGGCTGGATCCCCAACATGTGTATAGATAAAGACCCCAAAACTGGGGCCCAAAATATCAATATACTACAATGAGCAAAGTCTCTCAAACAAAACAAAAAACAACAAAAGAAAACCAAAAAAAGAAAGAATAATACAAAGTCTGTCATCGGGCTAACAGGTGCT